TTTCACAAACTCAGCCAAACAAACGACCAACCCTAGTAGAAATTAATATTTCTTCTAACAACGCAACGTATATTCAAACACGTAAACCAAATATTAAACTACTAGTAGGTACGGGTAGTTCACGCTCGATATTACGTCCAACTATAGCTGAAAAATATTTTCCAAATAAAAATAATGAAATAAAGTCAACAGTAGGAAGTTCAAATACTAGATTTCAAGCTTGCATACAAGCATTTTCTGAATTTAACATCGATTATCGAATAGAGTTTATCCTACTCGATTTTCACTACTTTTTTGACGGAATAATAGGTTCAACTGATTTAATTAATATGAATCTGAACATTGATTTAATAAATAAAAAGTTAAAAGGATTCAACAACGAAATTCCATTCAAATATATAAAACAATCAGAGGCAAACTTTACTCTAACCGTAAATGTCCATCTTTAAAGAAATACCAATAAGTGAAATCGAAGGCGATATCTTTATAAAAAATCAAAAACTACAAAATCTAGAAATACCATCTGCTATTTCATATGCAAAAAATAATTTCGCTCTAATTGAAATTCAAAATCCCAGTTGAACGATTTAACGCTGACCAATACGGATGTTACAATTATAACATTATATCTGATAATCTAAAAATACGTACGGAACTTCAAAAGGACATAAACGGAGTAATCCGTACCCAGCACATGAACTCGGAAGAAAAAGCTCTAATCACAAAATTATGTTAAGAATTCTCGGATATTTTCTATAATCCAGGAGACAAGTTGTCATTTACCTCGAAAATCAAGCACGACATTAGGATAACGGATGAAATACCAGTGCATACGAAGTCATATAGATATCCATTCGTCCACAAAGCAGAAGTAAGACGACAAATAGTTGATATGCTCGAAAAAGCAATAATAAGAAAATCAAACAGCCCATGGTCAAGCCCTATATAAATAGTGCCTAAGAAAGTAGACTCATCCGGAACTCAAAAATGGAGAATAGTCGTAGACTATCGGAAGATTAATGAAAAAACTATTTCTGATAGAAATCCAATCCCGAACATACCGGACATTCTAGATAAATTGGGACGTGCACAGTATTTTTCTACACAGGACCTTGCCAGCAGCTTTCATCAGCTTGAAATGAAAGACGACTGTATCGAAAACACAGCTTTTAGCGTAGAAAACGGACATTTTGAATACACAAGAATGCCATTCGGACTTAAGAATGCACCACTAACTAACCAAAATAAAATGTGTATGGTCTTTATGGATGACGTAATCTTTATAAGTACATGACTTATAGAACATATTCAAAATCTGAGATTAATATTCCAAAAATTACGAGAAGCTAATCTGAATGCCTTGGACATGTAGTTACTCCAAATGGTATAAAACCAAATCAAAAGAAGATTGAAGCGATTAAAAGCTATCCTTTGCAGAAAACCCAACATTCTTAGGTTTAGTCGGGTGTTTTCGCAAATTTATAAAAAATTACGCGAAGATAACTAAAAGAATGACACAATGCTTGAAAAAGGAAAGCAAAGTCGAACACGCAAACTAATTCATTGATTCTTTTAACACGTACAAAAATGTGCTTTGGAGCCAGTATTACCTTATCCGGACTTTACAAAGAAGTTTTTAATTAACAACCGACGCATCAAAATATGCCATCTCATCAATTTTATCCCAAGACCGACACCCAATGGCTACGCACCAAGAACGCTGAACCCGGCAGAGATAAACTACTCGACCGTTGAAAAGGAATTCTTAGTAATTCTTAGAATTCTCTTTGTAGAAAATATTATTGGCTAAAAATGTCCGAGAACATAAAAAATTATGTTAACAATTGTGACATATGCCAAAAGAATAAGTATTATCGAAAACCACCAGTGATAAAATTTAACTTAACCCCAAAATCATCAAAACCATTCGAACACATTCATGTTGATACCTTTAGGATAAACCATGAAGCCTAAGTTACAATAATTGAAGCATAACAGGAACCGAAGTAGTTGAAAACCTTTTGTAAGTTATACCAAATAGAATTACATTTTAGGACACCACAAAATAGTAAACTCCCCTGTGGAGAGATTTCATTCAAGTATTACTGATAGTTATAGATGTCTTAAAGAAGAAAATAAAGATCTAACTACAGATCAACTCATAAAGAGAGCAGTAATGGGATACAACACCTCTATACACACAGTGACAAAATTTACACCTTTTGAAGTGATAAATGGTCATTTAAATCTTCAAAACCCATTTGATCTAAATGATAACGAAGAAGGGATTATTTTAAAGAGAAATGAAAATTGTGAAGAACCACCAGATTTTAGTGATCAAAAATATACTTTCATTAAAACAAAATTTAGAAGCAAAGAACTTCCCAAATTTAAAAAGTTACCGTTAATAAACCAGACGAAAAATAAATTAATAACACCCAAACTATCATAAAAGTAGTGCAAGGATACCAAAGCCTAATAAAAATCTAGTCTTTCGGGAAACCAATGAAGATCAAAATGTTATCTCTATAACGACAGTATAGAAGAATAGTAACGACAGACGTACAAGTTACCAAACTAGTAAATCCTATACTTCCTATCCAGATAGGTAACGCAAAGTTAATTTCTACTAAACACTACCTTTACCAAAGTGCGTAATTAATAACTATAATAAAACTATTGTGAAATTAAATAAAAACCAACGTAAACTACAAACTGGTTTAAAAACATTCCAAAATGCAGTATTAATGACGATAAATTCTTTACAAGACTATCTTAGTTTTCACGGGATCATTCCGCAATTAAACTTAGGTTGCCAAAATATTATAATGTTTCTAGACAACCTAGAAGACGGTTAGGTTTGCAAAAGTTAATGCGCTTCATAATAGTGTTTTACCGATTTCGGAGTTGAATAAAATGCTTAAATATCTACCATCAATCTATAAAGAAAATCAAATTCTAGAAATTAAAAGTAAATTTTGGGAACTCAGGTAAATTTTGTAGACTCGAAAGTGATCTTTGCAGCCCATGTACCAATTTTAAGATCAGAAATATTTTCCTTTTACCATATTTTCCCAATAATCCAAAATTAATTAATTTTTATACCGCAATAACAAGCGGAAAAGAAGAGACAATTTACACTAGAAACATGTCCCGTCATCGAAGGAATCTACTTTTGTAAAGAAGAAACTCATCCCCGAGATGTATGCATGGAGAAATTAATTGACGACATTGGAATGGAAAACTGCCAATTGCGAAAATGAACCTGTCAGAAGCAATTATAAAACAAATCACTCAAAATTTAGTTCTTGTGCTGCCACAGAAGCCTGAAAAACTGCTAATCAAGCGTAACAGGGATCGATATATGCAAATCAAAGTACCAGTACTGATTAAGATACCAGTAAACTGTCAAATGGAAATTAATGAAGAAAAATTCTTCAATGATGTAATAATCCAGTTTGGAAAACCAATATTTTTACCAAAAATCCAATTGACGGAAATGAATGCAATGAAAATCCTGGATACCCCCACCAGTCAAAAATAAATATTGACGAAATATAGCAGCTAAGAGACTTAGCAGAAAAAATAACTCCCATGGAACCAGTGAAAGAAGAAACAAATACGTTCCAAATAATTGTTATTGTTTTTGGAATAATCATGGTTGTAATTTTAGTTTTCATCATTAAGAAGCTCTTCTTGGAAAAGGGACGAAACGGAGGGAGGAGTTATATGCCCCGAAGTACAGACGAAGTCCAAAGCTAAGCGAAGATAACGTCTCGCTGACATCGAATCAAAAGCTCTATTTATTCGAATGCCGCTTTTTAAAATATGCCTTTAATTATTCCAGCCTTTGTATCGTCTAGTCCGAATAAAACTTTATTTTTTAAAAACGCTCTCCCTAACTTTGAACATTTTAAGTACATTAATGTCATTTTAAATAAAGCCAGAACTATGATTTGACTCGTTCTTCAGGAATCCTAAATTTTTTTGCCTATACCACAAGCCTATTTCAATAAATATAAATGAAACAAAAAAATCGTAATAATCGTTTTTTATTTATAGATTCAACACAACATAAAAAATGTAAAACAAAAATCTTGTAGCGATAAAATATTATTTGCGATTATAAAAACAATAACGATAACAGCACAGCTGCACAACATAAAATTCGTAGTGGTATATTGACTCCAATAAGTGCCTTGCATAACTCCTCATTGAATTGTTTTTTGATTTATCTTCAAGAGTAGAAAATTTTTGTAGTACATTAAAATTTTATACATAGCTACCAATAATTTGCTTAAATACGGAATGTATGAAAGAAGCAATCTTCTTATCTCAAAAAACATAATATTGTCGGTACCATTTGTGAAGGCATAGTCGGCAAATAAATATAAAGGTGGGGGAAGGGATATTATAAATGATCACCCGGTACAAAACAAACAAAAAATGCAAAATGCATGTTTCTCCGCTCCTTATTTATAACTGTTCTGAAATTCAATATATTGTGTCTCGACAATTCGTATAGGAGGTTTTTAAAATAATATTGCGGTCACGAATAAAACATATATTACTAGTATTTTATTTATTATTTTAATTCCTGTAACAATGCCGGTGTCATATTCATCAGATCCGTCTTTCTATTGTATGCAAGTTAGTATGACTCGAAGTGTTAAGTACTGAAATACCGAACTTATAGGAAACTATCATTGCAATTTATTCAAGTTGCCGCCCGTGTTTAATGATCCGTGTCGTTGCAAATTTACATTTTATCGGTCTCTCGTATTAGGAAACAAAATATAAACAACTAACGCTCTTTATCTGGATTGACCGACATTTTTCTAATGCATGTTTTGCTCGATATCTTTATTTTTACAATTTTAATCTAGGATTGATTTTCGATGCATTCAAAAATTAACAAAAGTGACTATTGGAATTTTGGTTGCTAGATTAAGAATTTAGCCAGTGGTGGACCGTTTCGATACGCATGAAATTTTTTGCAGCGCGTCGGCCATTTCGACCCCGTAACGAGGGTGAAACTGACGCAGGACCAGCTGATCCCCAACTTTGCGATGAAGGAAGTCGTGGACTCTTTTCTGTCGGAAAACGAGTGGGCGATAGATTATTAAATTTAAAACAAAAATCGCAAACGAAAAGGATCGCGGAAACTGTTTTTGTACGGGGTGTTTCAAAATTCAACGCAAAAATTATAAGGGCGTATTTGCCGGCACAAAATAAGTCTTTTCGTGGCACTTTATAGAAAAAAAAATGAAAAAATTTTTCGTAAGCTCTATATTTTGTATAATTACAATAGAATTATTCATTGCAGTGGCGTCCGAGAGGTTGGCCCAGTTGATGGTTATGGGTGAAGGCGTGGAGTGTCTTTTTATCATGTGTCAAAAATAAAGATTTTTTGTCTTTTTACTTTCCCGAAAAAAATTGAAAATTGGCATTTTCCTTTACGCGCTTGGACTAAACTACTAATATGCGTCAAAAGAACCGCGCACTATATAAATACATGTCTTCACCTCAATTTTATGCAAACTTAGTAATTGATGAATTTCGTATTGAGGTCATCTTTCAGGTTAATAGTTTACATGTGTCTTATTGTCGCATCAAAATCTGGCATATTATCTTTTGACCGCTTGAATATATTATTAACATCTTCTCTCAACATACAATCGTTTTCTATCGCTATTCTTCTGTATATTGTCACGTTGCCCGCAACAGAAACGATGGTGGGCATAGAGTTAATCCCTGCGACACACCGGAAGTGAAGCAGTCCTTGGATAAGGAAAATTAACTTTAAATATAGTATTCTTATTTATATTATTTCTTTCTTGCATTATGGTCTGTAACAAATATTATTTGTCGTTTCTCAGGTCGCGTGGTAATGGTAGTTAGAAGCTTTGAAGTTAAAGTTTCTAATCCGTATAGTAACACCGACTAAACATAAAGCTTCACGAACCTCGAATCTAATTAGTAGCTGTGTGTAAGCCAGCTCTGAAGAAGTCAGCGAAACACCCTCCATAATATGTTATCCTATGATTTTGATAGTCAACTGACCAAAACATGTACATGGACTTACGCTATGCTTTTTAATAGAATGACAATGGAGAATAATATAGCTGTAATGTTTCCCTGGAATCTTGGTATCTTTTGTGTATTTTTCTTTTTTTCACCTTAGTTGTTTTATGTTTGTTGTTCTTATCTTTTTGGCTGGTGTTAATGCACTTTGTTTACGAGATAACGGTATTTTTGGGAAAGGAGACACTTCTAGCAAAAATTTTGAATTTCTGGAACTCCGCAGTCGTTTCAGTTACTACTTCTTTGAACAGCACTAGCAGAGGTTGTGGAGGGTAATTATAAGTCGTGGCTGAGGCTTTGCCAACTTGATATGACTTGAGATTTCTGTTAGCTTGTGACTCATCTATTATTGCGTCTCCTGGTTAAAATAAATGGCTTGAAAAAGCCTCGGTCTCTGTTTCACATTTTGAGAAACGTTTTGGAAGTTTATTTGTTCCTTTCCCGAGCACGTTACAGTGTTACAATTCGGAGTTTAATTCCAAAAATGATGAGAGCCAAAAATAAACTGCTATGCGACCATTGTTTGAAACTTTGTGTTTCAATTTTAGTTTCTCAGCAAAGTCGTGTTTCAGTGTAACTGTGTTTCTATCGCTGTTGTTAATCCCTTGCTGTGAGCAACTAACCGTTTTTTCATTCGTATACCCTAGGACACCTGTAAAAATAATTGAAGCGTCGAAATGCCAAAGCGAGTATGTGCCAAAATTACATTTTTGAGACAATCAAGATAAACTATTTAAATTTACAATAGTTATAATTGCCGGTGTTCGTAAAAATAAGGCAAATGCCGGTTAGGAAAGAAACATAATATTTATTAACTACCGCAACATTAGTAAACAAAAAAAATCATACAAAAAACTCTAAAGTTAATTTGCAAATATTTTATATGGCTTAACATTGAAAATAAAAATAGATTTCTTTTTATTATCGGATATGTTGTTAATGGGATTCCACTTCTTAAGTTGTGCTCTGCCTAAGCTTTCCAAAGTTTGACCCTTTTTTAAAGCAGTGGTTTTTGTCCATGTCTGTGCTTCAGAATAAGCGTTTTTCGAATATACGACACCGGGCTTATTTTTCTCTAGTCTTACAACAACAGCTGTACCCATTTTAAGACTTGTATTAGAATAAGTATTAGCTGATTCCTTAATATCCCACAAACGAGTTTTAAACATATCGACAACTTTGAAAGGTGGAATATATTTCGCTGATTCGATTACCTCACTGAATTCATTAGGGGCAATAACTTTCATTATTCTTTTTATTTTCTCTATAAGAGCAAAATCGCGGTCATGTGAATGTACAATGGACTTAAATAAACTACCAAGAATATCAAAACAAAAAGAATAACTTTATTTTTGTTTTAACCTGCCTAGTTATCAGACCACATAATTAATAAGATGAAACATGCCCGAGTAGGTACAAACAAAACTTTGCTCTCTGCTCTGCTCTCGATGTTTTGACACATATTTAAAATTTGTCATAAGAGTTGTTGGGCTTGCTCGGTTTTGCGGTGGTGAAGTTTAAGTTTCATTTCAGCAGAACCACTGGACTCTATATTTCACAGTTCAGTTTATCGCACAAATTACAAGTATCCACTCTTGGCAGATGCAATTTAAGATTTGGGAATTCTCGTTTGAATGTTGTATTATAAGTAACCTCAGTGTTTGGGTAAACTTTTTTAAAGGCTTCGAACAACCGATTAATATTTAAGTCCGGGCTTAAATACTGCTTAGTCGACTTGATTCTACCATAGTGACTTTCCTGTCGCGGAAGTGAATCAACATGTTGTTTAGTACATTCTTTATCAAAGGCAGATAATTTTACGCTTGAGTGTAACAGGTAACATGGAACAAGTACATCTAACTTTTTGTAGGACACAGAAAACGTTCCGGCAAAAATATTCTTATATACAGGAACAAATTCATGATTAACATCAAGTATTGTATAGCTGACTGTTTGCCTTTTACCATCCTTTGGAACCTCGTAGGAGCGGACTTGTCGCTTTTCGTAGCTTATACTTTTGCACTGTAACTGGTATTTGTATGAAAGCTATAAAAAGAAGCTTACGTTGGTCAGGATCTTACAAAATTACGTCACTTGTGTACTAACCTCGCATGCTGGTTGTTGCTTTGCCAGTTTCAAAACACCTTTTCGCATTTTATATGCTTCTCAACCTCTAGGTGCAGGTTTCTGCTGATTTTCACTCATTTTTATAAATATAATAACTTCGGGACTATGGCCAAGTTAAACTCCTATCAGTGAACTACTAATACACTAAACCTCTGTGACGACAGAAATCTGGACAATTAGGCACAGGTATTACTTTACCTAGGTGCCGAATTAGCTACAACTATGGAAGGCATATATAATAGTATAAGTGTCGCAATTATAAAGTTTCCTGTGTAGTAATTGTGAATTTAAATTAAATTAAAATAACTGCGTAACCGACAGTTAATACAAACTAGAATGTCAAACGTGGTGTCAAAGGCTTGTCTGTGATTATCCAATCCTCCAAAATGTCGGAATTGACTGGACATAATCTAGTTTTGGAAAACGCATGTGTGGCAATTACTGAAGTAGCACATTTTAGAAAGGCAATTCTTAGTCATGTAATGGTCCAAAAAATCCAACGTCCAAGGGCTGAACGCGATGCGTGCAATGAACAGGAAAGTAAAAAAAAATCGCAAATTCCAGTGCTGGTAAGCTTTGGCGACTGTTACACCCGTCTAGAAGCAGAAGCAGTTTATTTTCTAGAGAAGCTTTGGTGTAGTAAGTAAAGTGAAGCCACTTTAGGAAAAGTTTTCCTGTCATCCAACCGTTTCGTTAGCAAAATGCTTTGCTACCTGGGAAAGTGTTGTCGATAAGTTCGTTTATAAATATCTTTCGTGCAAATGTGTCACTATCAGATGTTTTTCACGTTCAGCACTGCGAAGAGCTACAACCCGCTTACGGTAAAGGTTTCAAACATGTTTTGAGTTTTTTTTGTACAGTCAAGATTCATCAACATTTTTTGGTTTAAACGTATAATCACGCAAGGTGGCTTCTAATAACGTAAAACACGATCCGATGTTATTTTTGTTAAATGCCTGAGCAACGGACGTATTTTGAGGAATCTTTAACGATATTCCCGGATTTCTTGTCAAAAAATATTTTACCCATTTCTTTTGAGCCATCTGCTTGTCTCGGTTAAAGTGATGGTGTCCTAAGTAGTCTCCCTTTTAGCAGCTAATTGCCAACTTATTTTCTTTTAAGTCATTAATAGCATTGTAATCCCATTTGTGCCTTTTTTTATTATCTATCATTTCGGCTCATAGCCGAAAATTAAAAACAAATCTGAAATGTGAAAGATATTTATAATTTCGTTTCCTATGATGGCAGATCGTGCCGACTTTGGATCACATGATTATGCCATCATAGGAATATGTAAATGTTGAAAAAATGAAATTGAATGGATCGCTTCGCACAATTATAACCTCAAATTAAAGTAATTTCCATAAACGCGTTTCTACATAATACATGACTACCAAGAATTAAAAATGAATACGTAGTCCAAAGTAATATAACAACTATCAGCTCCAGTGTTGCATGAACAACACATACTTTTAAGAAGGACCTCTGCGTTCTTTATTGAAAGGTGCGTTGTTGCCACATCTACTACGAGGATGTAGGCCTCTGAAACAAATCGCCCCGCTGACAAGCGACCCCTTGTTAAGATCTATATTTCAAACAAAACTTAGTATTTTGAATACTGTGGTTTTGCTTCTAACAGCCTTCAGGTGAGGTCTGGTGTTCGTCGGGGGTAGATTCGCGGCTGGGTGCTGTTTGTAGCTTTCATTAACCATATGGCAATGGACATTGTAATGAAATTAAGAAATGGCGGTTGATATTTACATCGGATATTATCCCTTTGAGATATTTACTCTTTGTTATTTAATGTAATGGAACTCTTTTTGTGAACATAAAACAATAGGAAATTAATCATTTTAAGTTTTTGAGTTGTTAATAATGAATGAATTTCTTCAGATTTTTTTCTTTTATTAAAAAAAAAATTAACAGACAAAATTTTCAGATCAACCCCATATGAATAGTTTTATTTTCATTACGCAAAATAAATATAATAAATACGTTGTCACAATCTTTGCAAATTTTGAAATACCCTGTGTAACCGTTGTTGTTGTGTACAGTGTATGATTCGAATAGTGTAACAAATTATGTATGAAAATTACTTTATTCTGTGTTTTATTACGAGTTGCTTTGCTTTGTGATTCTTAAATGCATTCAAAAGATTTCGTAAAGAACGGGTTTTATTCACAAAAATAAAGTTTATTATTATTTATGTTTATTATTTTAGTATTTGTATATAAACTATGTAATGGCCTCATCAATTGTTCAGACCTACTGCAGCAATTCAATTTTCGTGTGCCTTCTTTTAATGCAGCACATAATACAGTCGAACTTCGATAACTCGAATTTTTGATAAGTCGAACCAAATTGGTTGGCAATAGCGTCAAAAGTAGGAAATGCGTGTTAGTTTGTCTTGATTACTCGAATATCTTGATAACTCGAACGAAACATTTGGTGCCAACTTCAATAAGTCGAATTTTCTCGGGGAACCCCCTAATTACGACCGATCTTAACCTGTCTTTTTAACGTATCGGTGCAAGCAGTTCAGTTTCTAGACTTGCTAAGTTCACTTGTATGACTCACTAGTTAATACTAAGTAAAAAATACTGTCCCTATTCAATTTACAGATTATATTAAAAAAAAAATTAAATTTTTGCATTTGTTGATATGTCATCAAAACGTACTTTAAAAGCTTTGTCTGTTGATCAAAAATTCAGGGTTATAAAAGTGGAAAGTGTGTGGAAAGGTAAATCTGTTCAACGCCAGTCTGGGCGCATTTAAGAAGACTGCTAAAATACCGGAAGGGTCTGTGATGTTTGTTGTTTTTTCCCAGTCTGGCGCTGTATCATATGCGTGTTCAATAGTTTTTATTGTTATAATTTTCTCTTCTGCTTGCTATGCATATTTAAGTGTAAGAAATTAATAGGGGAAGTCCTGCTAAAACACTTATTAATTCGGAAACACCGTAATACAGACAATCGTATGGAGTGGCCAACGTATTAAAACAGACTGCAAAAACATAAATATTCTTGGAACAATTTCCGCGATCATAGCCCACACCTGTGTAAACAAACCTTTCAGGTGCGGCCCCTTTGATGACATCACAGAATTATATGGTCGTAAATCATCTAACCCTGTCATCAATATATTTACCCCGTGACGCAGTTACGTTTCATAAGTATTTTTAGTTTAGTTTTACGCAAAACTGGTGTGTCGAAAACATCGTCCTGTAATTGGACAGAATCTGCCTCTTAGACAATATAGCGTTATTGTGATTATTATCAAAATGGCGCATTTTTATGTTGTCTGTGGTTCGAGGTGGACTAACAGGTAGAATTTGGAAGTTATGTGTTGTTTTGGAATAGTGTTCATTCATAACAATTGTGATTTGCTCGAAATATTTTAAAATCCTTTAGCGTTGCTGCTAATAATTTTTTTGCTACCGAACATCGCAAGAAAGTGACTAGTCAGGGCAATACCGACTCTTATGTCAAGCTTTGATTAGAATATAGTAAGGAAGTTAAAAATTGGTTAAAAGAGAGTTTAAAAAAGACACTGGATAATTGAAACAGTTTTTGAGGATGTCAAAAGATTACTGAATATTGTGAAATTCGATAGAAAAAATGAACATGAACATGGAACATAAACTTATGGTAACTCTTAAAGTTTCTAGTCGCGGGTTAAACTTCTGGCGGCTTAATCTACAGCTTTTAAGACTATGAGTCCACTATTTACTTATTCACACAAAAAGTTTGTACAGTAATATGTGACCATTAAAGAGCAATTTCCACAAGGAAAATTTGTTTTTTATTTATGCTTTATGGCATATGGCAAAAAATTGTTTAAATGTGCTAATTTATTGGTTTCGCGGACCAAAATGATGACAGTGAGTAAGAGAGAAACTGTTCAGTTACCTTGCCATTTAAAATAAATGGGAAGTTGCTAGTTTTTTTTTACTTTATAATAATTAAACATATTTCATTTGAGACACAACTATAGCGAACTCAATTTTGCATTGTCGAAGGATAGATTTGATCACACTATGACTAGCTTGAATAGTGAGCTTTTTCTAAATGTTTCAGATATCTTACAAAGGCTGGCTAAAGGTAGGGTGGATAAAAACTGGAAAGTACGAAGTTAGTATACAGGAAAAATTCACCGGTTACTAGATTTAACCTTGCGCGATCTCAAACTATCAGTGATCATTCACCGAATGCGAGCTTTAGCCACCAATAGCGTCAATAAACCTATGGTTAAACCGTCTCCCACTCGGAAGCTGAAGTGTCCAGCACAACATGGACACCCAAAGTTCCATTTGTAAGCTGCACGAGCTGGCATTTACACGATATCACCAGCCAGAGAATGTTCAAAAAACATTCATCCTTTAGTTTATATAAGTTTCTTCGAATGCCTTTCGGCTTGCGTAAAGTTTCTCAAACCTTATCTTGACCACCTCTTTCGAGAATGCCTCTTTGTCCCTCTGGTTGTTTCAAACATCTAGCGTCAGTAAACAAATGGACTACAGATTTCGAATACAAGGACCCAACTTTCTAAGCTTCACATTCTCCTCGGCTACGACGTGGTGTAAGGTCAATTTCTACAGACTCTGGTTGAAATGCGCTGCAAAAGAAATGCTGACGTTGAACACAGCGACAGGCGAAACCTTTAACAAAGTTAAAGACCTCCTGGTCGCCCGTAACGAGTTAGTTTTCTCAGCACATCACACCCAGTTGAACAGCTAATGCTTCAGATAGACCTGAAGAATATTGCTTTCTTCATACAAAAACTTTTCTAAACCGAACAAAATTGTGGTACCTACGCCTGCGAGTTATTGGCCATATTCAGTGGTATGCACGAGTTTCGCCGCTGTCTCAAAGACAGACATTGACCAGACTAGAAACCGTTAATGTACGCAGAGTTATTGGTCAATTGATCAATCAAGCAATGGTCACGAGAGTGTATCCACTTTTAACGTGCCAAACAACACATTATAACAACTGTGACACCAAGAGTTTCGTTAAGTTCTCACAATATATGATACGTTCATAAGGTGGCTGACGCAATCCCTATAAAAGAGATTTCTGTAGAAATAGTGGCACAGTATTCTCTTGAAGGATTGATATCTCGCTTCCGTGAACCGACACCTGTCACAACAGATCGAGGAAGACAACTTGAAAGTCAGCTCTTTCGCCAACACACACGATGCTAAGTGTGCGCCGCCGACGAAATATCTCAGTAACATATCTCATGGTCAGCCTAGGTAACATTTTTAAATAAGATAAACAAGGTACACTATAGGCAATCACTCAGCCTACAGTATACAGGCTATGCAGAGCACAAAACTTTAAGTGACAACTCCATGCAATGGGAATTCCAAAACAGTAATATTTTAAGAAAATTAAAGATAGACCAGAACAGAACCACATTAAATGTGGCAAAAATGACTGTAAGTTACAATACTATATTATGGGAACAAGTTTGATAAATGTCATTTTAGTCACCAGTTTTTTTTTGAATGAGCGAAGCGAATGCTTATTAACAGGAGGAATTTATTAACGTGTTGCGTAGTATACTTTTTCTATGACCATTAGTAGTTTTTTGGTGGAAAAAATATATTTTTGGTATTTATATTGCAAGTATCCAAATGCTAGAAAGTGTTAATGAATAAATTGTAATTCCGAAAACTAATTAAAAAGATGTACATCAACAAATAATGATTAATTAATAATAATTAATAAATATTAACTAACACATATACTTTAAACAAATTGTCGCCATTCCAGAACATTTTTGTTATTGCCTTTTCCACCAACCGGATTAAACTTGCAAAATAATAAAACACAAAATAAAGTTTTTGTTTGAAAATCTAAATGGTCAAATTATTTTAAAATTACAATAATTTGTCAAAATCTTTAATTTCGGTCTTAAAAGCATAGATAAATTCAAATGGTCTGGTATATTCTGTGCCCTGTATTATAAATTACTATTTTTATAAATGTGACAAAATTCTTTAATTTTATAAGTTTTATTATTTTTATCACTTTCTAAATTTCCATTATAGTCAACAGTATAAAATCTTTTTGTTTTTTTTTTAAATATAAATTTTTGGGAAATCCTGGACAAGAGTGTTCATAGGAAATTTCATTCAGTTTGCTGCGATCAAGTTTCATCCACTGCGGAGTTCATTGTAAATTCGGCCACAATTACATCTAAAAAAAATTACAGATGTATATTACAAAAATGATAAAACTATTACCATTTTACAACAATTTATGCATGTTAATTCATTACACCGTTGATACTTTTTTCGTAGTAAAATATATAATCAAAGAACTAGGTGCCCAAAGACAATACTTTACTAACTAACCAGAACATGTGGAGAAATATAAGTCGAAAATACCGTGTATAAGCTTTTTGTGAATATTATCAAAACGATGGCGCATATTTAAAGAATATTCTTTCCTTATATTATTATACGAATATACTTCGCACATTCTAAACCCATAGACAGAAAAGTATTTTAGCAGTACTTACTCCGTATATGTGACTTACATTGTTGTTACGTGGGCATGGATAATAAAAGTAATCGAAGATTTTACCTATCGAGATACGCAAGCGCAAGTCATTTCATCTCTTATGCGACAGGGCAAAAGCAATCGAGACTACCAAATCGTGTGCTGTGATATAAATACTTCGATTATTGAGCAGAAATGGCCGACTTGAATCGGCTATCGAAAATCTACGTAATTTAATTTAGTTTTTATTTTTAATTGTTAATTTAATTAAAATAAGTAAATAAGTAATTAAATTGCCCCCCAGATCCCCAAACTTAACACCACAAGATTCCTTTTCTTCAAATGTTGTTCGGAGTTAGCAAAAATTGCCAGATTTATTGTAAATAATACACACTTCAAGAATCGTGAAAATGACCTTAGAGTCCGGTAGGCCTAACTTGCTTATCGCAACCGATTAAAATAGCAATCACAGAACCTTACTTTAGAATTTGGGTGAAATTCTGTCACGAGAATCAATCCTATAGGAAAAGAAGATAAGCTTGCGTTTTCTTTTATTGCAGCAGTTGCCATCACTAATTTACATGTTTGTATATTGCGGTTATTTTTTATTTTCTTTTTTTATTATATGTTTGTGTATACTATGATGGTTTTGGTCGGGTCTCGCGATCCATCAGTGATGTATCACAAAATCAATTTATACCATTTATTTATAGAGAGAATTAAGAGAAATTATTACAGGGTTTCCGTAAAATGTAATGTCTTACAAAGTGTCCATTTGTTGTTAACTGCACCCTCATTCCTCTGACTTATAGATTTCATTTCGCCACAACATCACGGTTACATTTTCGTCAACTGTTTATTATTATCATTGGTATTACGGCATTGTGTGTTTTTAATTTATTACTATGATTGTTATTCTCTTTGGCCTACCTTACATGTTGAAACGAAAAGACAGATAGGAAATAATAACTAAATTAGGTTGTTATTGGTTATTGCATTTGTTTAATGTTATAATTTTATAGGTATCTAGTTTTATCTGCAAGTCTTTTGTTATTGTCTTCTATTCAGGAAACGTAACGAAGGGGGTAGGGGAAAGTATAGCAAAGGTAAGAAAAAAGCTTATTGTTGCTATTTGATCTATTGATTATTTATTTTTATAATTTTTTTATTTCAATTTAATTATTTGTTTTTTTTTCATAGTAATATAATTTAATGCAACAATGTATGTTATTACCAACCACAAATTTCGCCAATAAGCGCTTATATATACAAAAATACATTTAATTACATAAACAGTTCAGACTTCTACGAGTTTGGGTTTAAATCTTTATTCACACATTTATACATTTGTAACTATAAGTCGAAAATTGACAGTTAAGAATATAAAATCTTCTAAGTGAAACTCTTTTTGTAAAGAACACACGCGGCTAAACAAACGAACTTTGTAAAAATTGCACAATTGAACTATTACGAACTAAAGAGGACGGAACAAAATAACTAATTACTCTAACATCAGTCCGTTATCATCCAGGACGTGGACGTCCCTGATCCGCTTCTCTGCGAATCCCTCCTTTTCTACAATCTCGCCTACTTCGCGACCTTTGGAATTTGTTAATTTGACTTGCCATGGTGCGTACGAAGACCTAGAAACCGTGCAAAATTATAAGTGGCATGAGGTACCACTACCGCATATGTATGCATATAATACGTAAGTAAGGTGACTGAAGATTTAGCAAAAAGTACTTATTTATTTATCAAAATTATTTATTTATCAAAATTAATGTTGTCCCCTTCAAAGTAATTTCCCCAGATATAATACACTTGTGGCAACGTTTTTTTCAATCCTCAAAGCACTTCTGGTAAGCACTTTCTGGTATAGCCTCGAGTTCTTAAAGTGATTTTTTCTTTATTTCCTCAATCGTTTCAAGCCTCCATACTCTCATGGGTTTCTTGAGTTGGTAAAAGAAAAAAGTCGCATGGGGCCATATCCGGTGAATATGATGGCAGAGGCATGATCGTGGTTTTGTTTTTGGCCAAAAAGTTAAACACAACCAACGATGAGTGAGCAGGTGTATTATTGTGATGCAAAATCCATGAATTATTTTCTAACCGCTCCGGACGTTTTCTTCGTATTGCTTCCCGTAAACGGCGCATAACTTCAAGGTCATACTCTTTATTGCCCAAAGTGCCCAACATTTCGGAAAAAATTGCATGACACGACCCAATAAAGATGCCGACGTCTTCACCCACTTCTCTAATAGTGATTGGACGATTGTTCAACACCATTTATTTCACTTCTTCAACGTTTTCACCAGTTATTGACGTGCTGTGGCACCCAGAGCGAGGTTCGTCATCTTCGTGTTCTTGGCCATCTTGGAACTGCTTGTACCACTAATAATTTTTTTTTTCTCAAACTAGATTCACCATATGCCGTTGTCACCATTTACAGTGTTTTGCAGCACTTTATTCTATTTTTTTTGGCAGCAGAAAATCACTGAGCACAGAAAACACGTCTAACGATTCTGTCTTACAAAAAAAAAGTAAACGTGCTAACTGGCTGAAACTGGGAACATATGTTAAGGACATGTGCACCAACATAACAAAAAAAAATCGAAGATTGAATGTAAGTAGCCCGTCCAATAACGAAATTCGCCTTACTTTTTGAACACACCTCGGACACCACTAGTAGAACAACTACACATACGTTTGATCTCACATCTTTTGACCCCCAAAATTATAAAATGGGTTACCTATGTAGAAATGACATCCGATTCTTTGAAAACGTTTGTAAACGGACCATGCGATAGGTAATTAAAAAATACTGAGTTCCATTTAAATGAATCAAGATGTCCACGCGCTTTATTCGGGGCGTTTTACGATTGATGGTACTTTAGAAATTTATCGCGAATGGATTCCTTCGAAAGTAGCAACATTGACATTTTAAATGGGACTTATAGTTTGGTTGTTTTTGAATAATTGCCACGCACCAAATATCAGGGTCGGCTAGCTCGGACCATGCTCCGAATGAAATTCAGCGTAAGGAAAATGTCATTGATTGTAAGTAGTATAAAGGTACACTATAGTTCATCCCCACTCCTCTCCCTTTTTGTTGGCGTGTCCTCCTTCCCCACGACCCTCTAGCTCCTCCCCCTTTACCCATAATCCCTTGAAACTGGCCCCCATTGGATAAGCAACCAGAAATGTGGGGTTTAATCAATCCCCCTCCTCTAGTTTGCGATGGCGGCGAAGCCAATCAAAGCCCAGATATTTTCCCACCCGTAAGAAAAGCAATGGCGTCAATGAGACTTGATCATATTGTTCGCGTGACCATCTGCACCCTCTAGGACAGGAGAAATAAAGACGAAAAGTGTTGGATTTCTTTTTTCGGAACTGGAAGCTGGCTGGCACCAAATCTGCAAAACAAAAACCTGGTTAAAATTTTTATTAATAAATTAGGATATTAGAAACCATATGCATTATTAATTTACTAAGCCATCTACCGTGCGTTAACTTCATACATATTTCGGCATTCTTCTGTTTTAAGGTATCGTGAAATATTTGACTATTTATCTGGGAAAAGTTCATATGTCGAAAATATTATGTGTATGTGGCCGTGGTAGGTTTTCTTTGCAATTATAATTTTATTTTTATTGTTTAATATTTACAAAATTAATTTATCTATCTTATTGATTTAGATTTTCTTTGCTATTTTATTATTTGTTTTTATTATTTAATATTTTCAAAATTAATTTATCTATCTTATTAATGATTTTAAGATATCGCAGTCAACTTTACTATTTCAACAATTTCTTTTATTTATTGATGATCTTTGAGGATAGTGTACATACTTTTTTTTTCGTAACTTATCTGTACCTACCCTTTAATCTCCTATCAACCCATGAAGCAAACTCGAAAGGCATCTTAACTAAAAAGTCATATACTTTAAAGCTGCTGCTACTACTACATGAAAGTGTGTTTCTATGGCAATCTCAACAACAAACAACTGTAATAAAATACTGTAATACTCTTCTCTGCTAACGCTCTAGGAGACGCTATTTGAACCCCGTTCAAAGAAAAACTTCTACAGCCCAAATAACCTCTCTGAACCACACTTAAGAGCATCAGTCTTTCACTGTCTTGCAGCGCCTTCAGATTAATATTCCGTACTAACTACGTATGCCATACACGAAACGTTCTCTTTTCTAATTTTTTTCTATGCGCTACATTAACGAACAGGATCTAAACTTTTCTGTCTGTGTATTTTGTTAGCCACCTTAAAAAAACTAAAAAAAAGGTATGCGAACCTAGAGGATATTTTCCATATTTTTCACAAATGGTGACAACAATTAATGCAAGTATTATTTTTAATAATAATTCATCTTTCGCTATGACATGAAAACATCGATTTTTTAATTGTAACTTTTCTCTTTAGTCTATATCTGTTCTTTAACTAAATCCCGCCTTTTTGAAAAACCAACCTCTAAAAATATTTAATTTTCTCTAATATAAATTTGTACATTTTCCGCAATATGTGTGAATATTTTTGCTAGAGCATTTAGTTACTCAGTACATGTCCTAATCAATATTTTAAAAATATAATTCTAATGATACGTGTTTACGATTTGAACATATCGAAACATTCCCCAGTTTTATAAATGAGAGCTCACTGCCAAACTACCAAACATCACAGTACAAACTACCGTACTACGCCCCCTGGACAAAATCAGGTTAGTCAGCGTCATTAATTCTACCTGCGTTAACGAATAGCGTATTGTTAATTAAGGTTTAATAAGCAGAAAATTTAAGTAACAAATAATTGAAATGAAACTCAATAACATCATAAATTATTAAAAAAAAATTAGAACAGTTGGAATTTACTGGAGTAACCAATTTGGCCCTAAAAATGGAAATTTTCGATACTCTACTAGGTGCCTACAATAAATTTTACTATTATTTTTAATGCAGAGACACAACGATTTTCTAGTTCTGAATTTGATCCGGGTATATGCCCATACTTTACGCCGACTCTAAAAGCCATGCAGTCTAAGCAATCAGAGTTATTGAACGCCCCATTTTGTGTATTATGTTCAAAACAGAGACTCTCTGGGCTTACGACTACAGCTACCAGCTACTACTTTCAATAATATTAACACAAACAAAAATAGGTGGCATTTCTATAATACGTGCAAAGTTTATGTGAAACTGACTGGAAGACAGAGTAATGCACCAATATGTTACTAAACATATTTCCATAGAATTCCGTAATAGCTTAACTCCAAGTTTTCTCATTTAGTCAGTCAAAGCATCAAATGGGAAATTCCAATCCAACATATGTAATGGTGGGAATATATCAATCGCCTACGTGACCGATGGTACTCGACTGAAGCTTCTGCATCTTCTTTACCCCACATGCCGACTTAAAAAGATACTGGTCTAAGTCTCAATATTCCTGTTAAAAAAAGAGAGGTTCTATATTGCCATAAATATGTGTTTTCAAAATTTTACCTGAATGGTTCGTGATTCCTTATATATGCCATGTTGGCAGCAATGTGGCGACGACTACGCTTAAACTTTCCACATCTCGTGTCCCCCATGACTGGTCTGTTTCATATATGAAAGGTCACCTCGCACCGCTTTGAACCTCCTTAAAAAAACGAGGCAAGTCTTGTACTTATCATATCAAAACTTATTTCATCACCTCCAAAGGGGGGAGTAGGGGTTTCTAAAGTATGGTAGGTGAATCTCCTTATTTTTTTAAATTAAAAAAGTGACATAATTACGCGACGTAACTCGATCCGGATCGTTAACGCGTCTCAAGATGGGGGTTTAGAGATGCTGAGGCCATTAAATTGATTCACTAATACCAGTACATACTTATCAAGGTGGACAAGGGCACGTCTGGCCGCTTTGAAAAGCGTGTTAACCTTTTTTTGATTTTTTGATTCCTCGTTATGCAAATCTAAACGGAGCAGGCTCGGATTGTCAGCAAATACACAACTCGCCGATTCAATTCTGAGTTGTTGCTTTACGAGTTACCATGATCTGTCAAATATTTTAATTAAAAAAAAAATCTATTATTTAGCAACAATATACCTTTTTAAAAATAATTTCGTCTTTTTCAAGTTCAACAGGACACGTGTGTTCGTTTCGAAAGGTTTCGTAGTCTGTAGCTCTGTCGAATTCTCCAAAATTCGTTAAACCTTCAGATATTTTCAAAATTTGTACAACGCAGACTTCCACTCACGCAGTTTCGAAAACTTTCAGGCCTCCCCGCCATGCATTTGTACACGAAGCAGGGTCGGATTGTAAGCAAACAGCACCCCCGGTCACTTTTCTTCTCGGGTTCTGCTTGACGAGTTACATCGATCTGTGGAATATTTAGCGTAAAAAAAAATATCTATTACTTTTACCAAAAATGAAGTACCTTTTTTCTTTAAAATTTGTTCGTCCTTTTCGAGTTCGGAATTTTTCGTAGTCTATATCGTCTGCCAATTGTCCAAAATCGTTGAACTTTCAGAGATTTTCAAAATTCGCCCCAACGCAGCCTTCCACGCACGCACGCAGTTTCGAAATCTTTCATGTCTTCCCGCTATGTAATTGTACACGAAGTAGGGTCGGATTGTCAGCAAACAGCACCCACTGTCACTTTTCTTCTCGGGTTCTGCTTGACGAGTTACATCGATCTGTGGAATATTTAGCGTAAAAAAAAAATTATCTATAACTTTTACCAAAAATGAAGTACCTTTTTTCTTTAAAATAGTTCGTCCTTTTCGAGTTTGAAAGGTTTCGTAGCCTATAGCCCTGCCGAAATGTCATTGCATTTGTACACGAAGCAGGATCGGATTGTCAGCAAACAGCACAAGCCTCACTTTTCTTCTCGGTTTCTGCTTGACGAATTACATCGATCGGTCAAATATTTAATATAAAAAATATCTATTTTACCAAAAATACGTACTCTTCTAAGATAAATTAGCTCTTTTCGAGTTTAAGAGGACACGTATCGTCAACTGTAGGATGTTTTATTATTATATTTTCCCGTGTCTATAAATTAATAAACAACAGAAGTTTCCGAATACAAAAATTTCAACATGAGTTTTTTTTCTTGAAACTTAAAAAGTTCTAACCCCTAAAACCATATTTTTAATACGCTGGCGGAAGTATGACAATCCCCAAAAATTACCATATTTAAATTGTTACTATTGATATATTTCTATTCCGAACTTAACTCAATACATGCAAAAAAAAACTAGCGAATGTTATTTATTATCTCCGATGGGTGGAGGATTGAGAAACGTTTAAATAAATCTACCTTTCTGTCTCTCTTTTTCTATATAGGTAACTCATTCTCTCTATCTGTTACTTTCCACAATCCGAATTTACACTTTGTGCCCAAAAATTTTGTAAAATTTTATCTGCTTAACTTCTTCGCGTTGTTCATATGGCTAAGTTTTTTGGGGAGATATATCGTGCGTTATTTCTATTAAAATTCTGTTTCCTTTTTTATCTACTTCAAAAACGTAAGCGAGCATTTTTGGTTGTTTTACTAAACAAAAATGGATACTAAACAAGATCGGTATCTCCGACCTCAGCCTCCTTTGATCACTCCCCAATTTTTTTTTTAATTAAGTATAGAAACCTCGTCGAACATATACATAATACTAGGTCAAAATGTTACGCGGTTACTCATTAAAGTCGCAATTCCGAAAGCTTCTTACCCATCTTTTTGCAGTCTTTTTTGTTTTATTTATCCGTATATGAAATACACAATGAACACAAAACTTAAACTCGTTGGCGATATTGCATTAAGCAACAAACGTGGATAACAGAAACAAACCCATAACACAAACGCTTCTTTAAACTTCGACTGACACGTGAAACAACCCGCATTCCTACGAAAGGCAGGTAAACCAAGCAGGTCAAATTTAAGCTACCCTCCAGTGTCGTCGTAGGTTCGGGCATAGTAAATAACGAATACAACAAAGCGGTAATTTTTAATAATTTAATTTGCATTTTATTTAACTTAAGTTGTTATGTAGAAATTGTGACATTTCTACAATTAATCAATGTACTACGAGTACTTTTCCGCTTAATTACTACTTTGAGAAACAAAAGAAAACGTTAGATTCCATTCAAACTTTTTCGGTTTTCATAATATCTCGCGTTTATTTAGAAGCTAATGGCCTGTGGCCTTAACCAGACGTTTCCAAAGGCTGGTTTGATATTATGTATATAAATCTTAACAAACACGAAAAATAGAGTTATATTGCCACCGAAAATCTGAATTTATGTTTAAAAATTATTGCCTGCATTGGCGCCTATATTTTATAGTTTTTTTTGTATCCTATTTTTTGTTTTGCTTGCAAATGTGTGTCCATTTTCGGGTACTGATTTTTTTTTCTCAAATTATTACAAATTACTCAAAACGGGGTTAAAAAGAGACGAGGAGAAAAGGGAAGAACCCTTATTTCTCCGACACTGACCTCCGATTTTTATAAAAATTGACGCCTTGACACCCTGCGCCTTGAATATTTTGCAAATAATTTTTAAAATTTAACTTCCAAATAACGCATACTCTCGCCTAGTGTCACAGTTTTGGGCCCCATTTTGCTATGGTTAGACAGGTTTATTCTTGTACATTGTCGGGACAGAAGAAGCATCTCCTTCATCCAAATGGACTTTTTCATACCTAATACAACAGCTCCCGGGCATCATCTCGCCTTAAATGTTTCTATTGAATTAATTTTAGTTTCAAAAAATTAGATGATCGTCAAAATTGGCATAAAAAGATAATCAAGATTTAATTAAACAAGAATATGTACCACCGGAATGAAACCTTCAGAAATTACCCCTACAACGGAGATTCTCGTATATAATTTACCAAAAAAAATTTGCAGTGAAAAAGTCAAAGTTCAAAGTTGGCGATGCAGTGAGCATAAGTCGCACAAAATCGGTTTTTGACAAAAGCTATGAAATTAATTGGACACCCCGAAAATTTCAAGTTTGTTAAAGTAAGTGGTTCCTTCCCTCTTACGTATATTTTGGAAGATATGGAGGGGTGTTAAATCAAAGCTTCGTTTTATGAAGTCGAATTACAAAAACTGTACTACCAAATAGTCGATATCAAATTTCTTATAGCTTATATATGTATAATCCCCACCCGTTCCCCAGATCCAAAGCGAACGCCTCACATACTTGTTTCGACAGGAAAAAACTTGACGGAGTACCTCCATCCATCCCGCTTTTTTTTAGACAAGCTCTGACAAGAAAAAGTACGTATCAAATAATGCGCCATTTTAAAAGGGGACATATTATCAATAGTGAAATAATTTATAAACGATTTATATTAAGATATACCTTTATCCTCTTTGCAAATAATTTTCTACTCGCTCACAGGTAGGATCATGAAGATTCTTCAATATTTTGTTGCACCAGGTATTTAGCTTAGCCTAGAATTCTTTTGAAACATAATTATTATTTTTAAAAAAGGCGCACGCTCGATCAGTTGCCGTTTTAGCGATATTTCCTTGTTTCCCGTGTCGGAGTTTATCTCTTTTCTTTTGTGCATATTCTTGTTTAATTAAATCTTGATTATCTTTTTATGCCAATTATGACGATCATCTAATTTTTTGTAACTAAAATTAATTCAATAGAAACATTTAAGCCGAGATGATGCCCGGGAGCTGTTGTATTAGGTATGAAAAAGTCCATTTGGATGAAGGAGATGCTTCTTTTGTCCCGACAATGTACAAGAATAAACCTGTCTAACCATAGCAAAATGGGCCCCAAAACTGTGACACTAGGCGAGAGTATGCGTTATTTGGAAGTTAAATTTTAAAAATCCTTTGCAAAATATTCACGGGCAGGGTGTCAAGGCGTCAATTTTTATAAAAATCGGAGGTCAGTGTCGGAGAAATAAGGGTTCTTCCCTTTTCTCCTCGTCTTTTTTTAACTCCGTTTTGAGTAATTTGTAATAATTTGAGAAAAAAAAATCAGTACCCAAAAATGGACACACATTTGCAAGCAAAACAAAAAAAATAGGATACAAAAAAACTATAAAATATAGGCGCCAATGCAGGCAATAGTTTAAATAAGGGAAGTTACATTTTTAAACATAAATTCAGATTTTCGGTGGCAATATAACTCTATTTTTGTGTTTGTTAAGATTTATATACATAATATCAAACCAGCCTTTGGAAACATCTGGTTAATGGCCACAGGCCATTAACTTCTAAATAAACGCGAGATATTATGAAAACCGAAAAAGTTTGAATGGAATCTAACGTTTGTTTCTCAAAGTAGTAATTAAGCGGAAAAGTACTCGTAGTATATTGATTAATTGTAGAAATGTCACATGTTCTACATAACAACTTAAGTTAAATAAAATGCAAATTAAATTATTAAAAATTACCGCTTTGTTGTATTCGTTATTTACTATGCCCGAACCTACGACGACACTGGAGGGTAGCTTAAATTTGACCTGCTTAGTTTACCTGCCTTTCGTAGGAATGCGGGTTGTTTCACGTGTCAGTCGAAGTTTAAAGAAGCGTTTGTGTTAAGGGTTTGTTTCTGTTATCCACGTTTGTTGCTTAATGCAATATCGCCAACGAGTTTAAGTTTTGTGTTCATTGTGTATTTCATATACGG